TGGGGGGGGGGTGTGTGGGGCACAGCCTGAGGGTCACTTTTGGGTGCATGACTCTGACAGGGATCTCACGTCTAGCGCACTAACAGACTTTATGGTGAATGACTGGGTGTCCAGACTGCAGAGTCAGTGGAATCTGTGCCTGTTTTTTTCCAAGAGACCTCAGGTTGAACCGTTTATGGACTTGCTGCGTGAGGGTGATGAGAGCAAACAGTCTCCGGCTGGCAGGGCTGGCCCCTGAGTGACTCGCCGACACCAGCACAGGCAGCGGGGAGAGAGGCCAGAGGCCGATGTCTGCAGCGTTCACACCGCTCCGCCATCACGCCAAAGGCCAGGGCAGGGGGCTCAGCGCACAGAGCAGGCGAGGGCAGAGCCAGCCACCCCCGAACTGCACTGTTGGCACCACTGGTGCCAGTAACCAAGGGGGCTGTTGGCTCACCTCCCAGCTCAGCTCTGCTCCCACGCACATGGACCTGGCTGCTTCCAGTCATGCAGGGGTGGGGAACCCTTTTCTGCCAAGGGCCATCCGGATGTTTATAGCATCATTCATGGGCCATACAAAATTATCAGCTTAAAAATTAGCTGCTATATTTGGTCAAACATTTAACTAACTCACCCCTAATGCCTTGGCAGGCCTAGACCAAGTGGTTTTGTGGGGCCTTATACGGCCTGAAGGCCAGACGCTTCCCACCCCTGCTGAGTAACAAAAAGCCACTGGGATAGGACTGACCTGCTTGACCCTGGGAATGACCTGTGAGCGTCTCCCAGTCCTGTAACTGGAAGACAGGAGTAACAAGCGCAGATTCTAGCCAGCGCTCTGCTCTCCGGTGACGACTGGGACACTGCCATGGGCTCAACAAGTCTGCACTGGGACCGGTTTCTCGGTCCTAAGTTAACCCTCGACAGAAAAGTGTGTGCCCTCTGCACTGAGCCTGCCTCGCCGCGATTCCAACGGAGCCCTGAGCCAGGGAAGATCCCTGGCGCTCCCTCCTCACACAGGGTGGTGTGCGCTCCCTCCCTCCCACCCCACACCTGCTCTGAGGAGGTCAGGAGGCATTCTGAGGGGCCCAGGAGCTTCTCTGAATGACGTAGGACAATGGGCTGCAGGGCTTGCAGGGACACCAAGTAAAGCACCCCAGAGGGGTCAGGAAGCTAAAAAATCTGATTAAAGAGAGAGTTCCCAACACAGAGCAGCCTCGACCAGGAACCAGCTCGCATCAACGTCAACACCTTCCGGCTCTCACCTCCCGCTTCTGACAGACGGACTGCACACCCAGAAACAACAGCGGAGCCCCCAGACCCACCGACGCTGCTACACACAGTGGAGGCTTTGCTCGCAGGTTCTTAAGCATCACCCACGGTGCCGCTTGCGGACTCACCGGAGCCGTCACTGACACTTACCCTCCTGGTATATTTAATGGGTATATTTACTCTGTTTTGATAAGCAAACCTCCTATGAGAATTCTGTATCCTGAGAAGAGCCATCATTTGGGCAAAGGATCATGAATGCATTATGAACAATCCCAAACTATGACGCAACTGGAACGAGGCCATGAGTGTGTGGCATCCCACCGTCCCCAAAGCTGCTGGGGAAACCCGCTCATCTCCGCAATCTAAGGCCAGTGGAAGATGTGCTATTTTATTCAGAGTTAATGCCAGCCCAGCATTCTGGCAGCGCAGGGAAGCAGCTCTTCGAGGAGTTCCCAGGTACGCCAGCCCCGCACCCAGCAGGGCTGTGTGGTGTGACGCTGTCAGGCTGAAATCAGCCCCTGGGGTCCCCAGGACCTCGAGAAGGCCCAGAGCCAACAACACTGGTGAAGCTGCACACAGACAGACTCTGGCCCATGCTGGCCTCTTGGGGCCGTGTGGCCACCTCAAGACACTTCAATTGGCTCATCCCAAACTGCCCTTTAACTCACCAGATAGCAAATCTATGTATCACTTTCTCTAAGGACACGTATTAACACATGCAGACAGGACCAGAGGCACGAGGTCACGGTGCTCACAGGAAGAAACAAGTTCAGCAAGTGCCCATCCTGTAAAATACAGGCCCTGGTCTCAGGACGGCAGAAGGCCCTCTGCTGAGCTGGAAGGGCTGTCTCTGCACAGCACGGGGCCGCCGCCTCCCGCTGTCAAGCCCCAGAAACACCGATGACACCACTGGCCCTTGTTTGGCAAAAAGCTTTTTCTGAGTGAAGCACTATACACAATTCCTGGTTATACACACAGTATAACCACTTGGCACCAAAATGACTAATAGAAAATCACACTACACATGCATATACTTTATAATTTTTAAACAAAAGCAAGTAGAGATCTGTCTCAGACCTGGGTTTGCAAGGACGTGGCTCTAAAATGCTGGTGTGCTGCCAGGTGCACTATGAGGACAAGAGTCTAAAACAGCTCTGGCGTCAGAAGGAAGTGGGCACGGAAATAATGGGACCGGGCTGCTGGGGCTGGAAGAGGCACCTTAGCTCCGCACCCGGGCTCTGGAGACACCAGATGTGCTGTTGAGTTCACAGCAGGCGAGTACACTGCAATCTCCTCAACATGATCCCAGCCTGTCTAAGAGTCCCCTCTGGTGGACTAACAGTACAACAAGCTGAGTCACGGCAGAGGTGAGCACTTCAGGACAATGCACAGGTGTGAGCGCAGGTGAGCATGGGGACCTCTGGACAATGCACAGGTGAGCAAAGGGACCTCAGAGCAATGCACAGGTGAGCACGGGGACCTCAGAGCAATGCACAGGTGAGCACGGGGACCTCAGGACATGGCACAGGTGAGCAAGCTCATGTTCACAGTCACACTTCCCAGGATCATCCATTTACTGAAACGAATAGAGTGCCACCAGGTAACTATACAAAACCATGCCAGGTGACCTGGGTAGATGCCTAGAACTTAACTGTATTTGCCATGAATGCTTTGCAGAGTCAACATAAGGAATTCATGCAAAAGACATTGTGTTATTCAACTAACAGGTCACTGGCGGCTAAATCAGGATGGAATGCGCCCGCGGTGGTGAAGCTGAAGCAACAGGTTTCCTGAATCACCTCCAAGAACAGAATCTTATCTGAAAAAGGACCCTGGCAATAGGGGGGACACAGCGGCTGATCCCGGCTTCCACCTGTTCCAACCTGTCCTCCCCTAGTGACCAGTGCTGGGGAGCAGTGTCACTGCCTCTGGGTCACGACGCGCCTCGCCGTCTGCGTGCAGAGCGTGAAGTTCCCCCCCCCCCCCCCGCCCCCAATCTCACAGGACTGTCGTGATGCCTCTCCCATCTGAGGCTCCCAGTGTGTGATGCAGGAGGTGGCCGGCAGACCTCAGGCTGCACCTTTATGGCCAGCACTTGCCGATATGATGCAACACCTACAACTTGCAGCGGGGGGGTGTTTCTCTGAAACGCCCCGAGTACTGGGTGTTCAGGAAAGGAGTGCAAACCCCCAGGAGGCTGACTCATGGTGACAAATAGCAGACACGCCCCTTGGATGGTGAGAGGGTCTTCTGATACCCTGGAGTCTCACGCGTGTCCCCTCCCAGGGAACAGACTCTGAAGGATGGGCCCCTCTGATGGGGCCACTGGCTGCCATCGATCCAGGGTGACCAGAGAGCCTGGAGCAGCTCTGCCCTCACTGCCCCTGCACAAGAGCCACCTGTCCCTTCAGTGGGTGCCAGCTGGGGCACGGCCATCATGTTTGACGAAATTTTAAGGAAGAGCAGACTTCCCTCTGCTCAGCTGCTTGGGGCGGCTCCCTGGGGCCTTCCCGGTGGATGCAGCCTGGGGACAGCAGCCCGAACAGCACCGCCTGCCACTCCCAGCACGCGCACGCCCCCACTTTTCCCAGCCCTCTCGCCATGTCTTGGGGGAGGATGAGGCCACGCCCCGGCTCCCCAGGACCGAGGAGCCCCAGAAGAGGAGTGTCAGCTCCCACTCAGTCAGGAAGCGCGGACCACACCCCCACTTCCCAGGTCACCTGCCGCCCACAGCACTGGCGTGGTTTCTTGGTGGAGATGAAAGAGAACCCCCAGTCTCCTGACACACCCTCTATCCTCACTCCTGTGCTCTCTGGGAGAGTCCAGGATGTCTCTCGCCTTCAATTCCTCCTGTTCCCAACAGCAATGTTTAAAGTTTTAAGGCTAATTTTTATTTCTGTAAGAAAGATTAGGTTTCAGAGAGTCATATATAACACTTTTATTTGACATTAAAATTTCAATCCCTTTGATATGAAACAAACAAGAGTTAAAAATGTTGTCACTGCCTGACAAACTGGGCAGTGTGTCTGCACGTCACAGCAGTGAGGTCACCTGGGACTGACCGGGGGGATGGACAGGTGGCCAGGAGGAGAGCAGCGAGGGTCCCAGGTGTCCTTCTAAGTGGACAACATGCCTGTGGAAGGGACATCTAGACCTGGGCTTAGAGAAGTAGAGTTGAGGAAATTTTTTTTTTTAATCCTCACCTAAGAACTTTTTCCCACTGATTTTCAGAGAGAGTGGAAGAGAGATGGAAAGACAGAAATATCGATGTGAGAGAAAGACATCGATTGGTTGCCTCCTGCAACCCTGACCAGGGCCCGGCCAGGGAGGAGCCTGCAACCAAAATACGTGCCCCTGACCGGAATCGAACCCGGTACCCTTCGGTCCACAGGCTGACGCTCTATCCACTGAGCCAAACCGGCTAGGGTGAGGAAATTCTTTTAAAGAAAACATCTTCGACTCAATGTTTTCAAAGGAATTGGGCCTGTACAAAAGGGGTTTAATGGTCACAAAAAAACTGTCTCTGAGGATGGTAATCGGAGGCTCTGGTGAGGTTCTATACCAGTGGTTCTCAACCTTCTGGCCCTTTAAATACAGTTCCTCATGTTGTGACCCAACCATAAAATTATTTTCGTTGCTACTTCATAACTGTAAGGTTGCTACTGTTATGAATCGTAATGTAAATATCTGATATGCAGGATGGTCTTAGGTGTCCCCTGTGAAAGGGTCGTTCGACCGCCAAAGGGGTCACGACCCACAGGTTGAGAACCGCTGTTCTATACGGAATAGACCATTTACATTTTCCTACTGTTGTTGAAAATAAACTGAAACTCTGTATTCCTCCTCAGCACTCTGACCAGCACTCCCAATGAAACCGAGTGATCTGTCGGCTTGGCACCATCGTGCCAGGCGGTGAGCACTGAGGCCAATGATCTGTCTCAGCGTCTGTCCCACCCAGGGGCGCGCTGGGAGTCAATTGCTGCTTTGTTTACTGGAGATGTGTGAGGTGGTTCTCTACATCGGCTCTTCAGACAAGCCAGCCCAAGGAAGATGCTGTGCTAACAATGTACAAACGGAGACCCCGATGGGCATGACCCTTCCCCCAAGGGGCCTGGCCCATGACAGGGTGTGGGGCATAAGGGCCAGGGGAGGACCCCGGGCCATGTGGGACCAAGGACAGGCTGACGTGAGAGCTGTGGTTTTTAGAGATGAACAGGAGACAGACAATACTGATTACATGGCTGTTAGGCAGCATCCCTGGCCTTCACCTGCTTGATGCCAGGAGCACCCCCTTTTCAATGACAAGCCCAGACGCTGTCAGGTTCCCTGGGTGAGGGAGGGTGTGGGAGGGCCCACTGATGGAATCACAAACCGATGGAATCACAAACCCGAGTTAGTGTACTTATTGCCGAATGTTGCCGACACACTGATACATCGCTCAATACTGTTGCCCATTTCGTTTCCTAGAAACAAAGTGCTAGTCCCAACCCACAGGTAGGACGCTGGGCCCCAGTGGAGCCGGCTGAGGGCACAGGCCTTGGCACGCCGAGGGTCTCACCTCTTTGTCCATACTCTCTAAATCCTCCTTACACAGAGTGTACAGCGGCATGGTCTCTGACATGCTGGGCTGTCGCTTTCTTCTAGAAGGACCAGGCTGTTCTCCATCGGGATTATCTGGCAGCTCTTCACCAAACATCTGCTGCTGATGAGGCTGAACAGCTCTGAAATGAACATTTTAGGTCCCACATGAGGGAAGGCACTTTTCCAGCATGGAATCAGATTCCTGACTCGGGACAGGTAAGTACACACACACACACACACACACACACACACACACAAGCACAAACACACAGAGACCATCCTAGTTATGGAACATGCTGCCTCATCTGCTCACTAGCTCGAGGCTGCTGGTTTCCTCCTGTGAAAGCCAACACCCACGGCCACCCCAGAGCATCCACTGGGCTTCACTGGTCTTAGAACAAAGGGCAAATAGGAAGAGTGACGATGAAAAACTTCCTAGAGACCAGCAGGAGCTGTTATTTATCCTCAAAATAAGGTTGAGCAAGCTATAAGATTTAAGAAAACAAAACTAACTACTTCTATACTATCCAGGCTCTAAAAACAGGAAATGTGATGGTGAAGAAACAGATGCCACCTGTCCACAGAGAACAGGAAAAGGTACCGTGAATTCTGTATCCAAAGTTGGGTTAAACTATTAAATATTAATACAACAAACCAACCAGCAAAGACCAAGAGGCTCCGCCCAAGAGCCGACACCACGCTCATGTCAGAGATGTCCCACTACGTTACAATTAGTTCTGTCTAAAACGGTTTCTGAAGCTTCCCCCTACACACACTCGTCTCAACGGTCAGATCTCACGGACACTCTCACACCAGTCACGGCCGTGGGAATTTCAGGGGCTCATGAAAGCTGCCGTTACTCTCCTCTGGGCACTGTTTCTGGAGTCAGCTACTCTGTGGGGCCTGGAACCGGACACCACAGGTCCAATCACTGGGACACTGATGACATTGTAGTAAAACCTCATTCTTTTGAAGAAAAATGGGGTATTAAGTCTAAACCACAAAGTCAAAAAGCAGCAATTGTATTAGGCTAATCAAATATTATCTAAGGAAGGGAAGATTTTTTTAAACCTGGAAATATAAAGGACAACCTAAAGAATGCTGATCTTGGCTTTTTCAAGTCAGACTAAGCTGACCCTTGAATAACACGGGTGTGACCTGTTCGGGTTCACCTATGCTCAGACTTCCTTCAATGAACACCTGCTGTTTCTGATCTGAGTTGGGAATCGTGGATGCAGAGGGGCCGACTGTGTGCACTGATCTGGGCTAGTCTATAGACGGGACTTGAGCACCTCTGGACTTTGGTATCAGCCCTGGAACCGATCCCCTGTAGGTACCCAGGGACAATTATGTTCTGGGGAGTCAAAAGTTATATGTGAGTTTTCAACTGTGCAGGTCGGCGCCCAATCCCCGCCATGGTTCAAGGGTCAGCTGCATATTCCCGGCCTTGTCAGCGGCCCACCCACCAACTCGAGTGCTTGATATTTATTCTCTGATGTAGACACCAGGCCACACTTGAGTTCATACCCACTTACTGTCAGTTCCAAACACCCAGAGCTCCAACATGAATATGGAAAAGCAGCAAACGAATCTTTTTACTAAAAATAAAGATATAGCCTCCTTTCAGAAAAATGGTTCCAGAGTTTTAACAAAAACTCGAAAGGTTGAGAACAAGCACAGGGAAGAAAGGTTGAGAACAAGCCCCGCTGGTTCTGACTGGTCCCTGAATTCCAGTGTGTGACCAGGCATGACCTGCACCCCCCCAAGCCCCCCATCCGCCTCAACCCTCAGACTCTGTGGACCATACACTAGACCTAAAACCTCTTAAGGTGAAACCTCAGGACCTGGGATGAGGCAGAGCTGATAAGTTGACACCAGAAGCATAACTCATGAAAGGAAAATCGACAAATAACCTCATCAAAGTAGGCACTTGTGTTCTGCCAACGACTATAAGACGGCGGGAACAGGGCCAGAGTGCGACAGTCTCTGCAGCCACAGAAGTGACGAAGGGCTTGTAACCAACTCTGAAACTTGGCGGCAATCCAATCAGAAACCGGCAAAAGAGAGCGAGCCGCTCTTGCCGAGGGTGCACGGAGGCTCCATACACCGACCTCAAGGAAATGCCAGTAAAACGAGGAACACGCCTCATGCTGGGCGACGCTGAGAAGGGAGAAGCAATGTCACTGCTGAGCACCCAACCCGGCAGCTACAGCCCACGGTCACTCTGGAGAAACACGGGTACACCCTGACGTCCACATGGGTGATGGTCACCAGGAAGAAGGGCCCAGCAGGGAGGGCACAGTGACGGCACAGAAGACTCGGAATCCCAGGGATGGCGACTGGATCTGTGGCAGCTGGGGTGGGTGGGGACATGCCTATGGCTACATGCACCCTGGGAGGGCCTGGGGCAAGAGGCACCCGTGTATGCACTATGTCCCTGTCCCCATCCTGGCTGTGAGGTTGGGCTGCAGTTTGCAAGATGCTACCGTTGGTGTCAGCTGGATCTTTCTGTATTATTTCCTACAACTGCGTGGGATTCTGTAACTGTCTTAAAAGAAAACCTTGTCCTAGCTGGTTTGGCTCAGTGGATAGAGCGTCGGCCTGTGGACTGAAGAGTCCGGGTTCGATTCCGGTCAAGGGCACATGCCTGGGTTGTGGGCTTGATCCCCAGTGGGGGGCGTGCAGGAGGCAGCCTATCAATGGTTCTCTCTCATCAGTGATGTTTCTATCTCTCCTTCTCTCTTCCTCTCTGAAATCAATAAACATATTTAAAAAAGAGAGAAAATCTTTAATTTAAAAAAATCAAATGTTCACAAGGAACCACACACAGTAATGATGGATAAATAAAAAGGAATTCAGAATTTCAGAGGATTTGCAATGCCAAGAACTTGGGGTTCCTCCTGGTCCTGGTGTCTCCACACCCCCAGACTAGGACCTCTCACCATCTCTAAGCTTCGCCCATCACATGGCAACTCTTACTGGCTCTGGCCTCAGCACAAGGCGAGCTGTGCACTGTGTACTGTGCTGGCTGCGATGGAGGCTGACTGTGTGTACCGCTCTCACTCCCATTCCCACACAGACCTCGTGGGTGAGAGGGAAGGTTCTCACACACGCTGCCAGCAGCCAGGAGAGTGCTCCTACACCAGTGATGGCGAACCTATGACACGCGTGTCAGAGGTGACACGCGAACTCATTTTTTTGGTTGATTTTTCTTTGTTAAATGGCATTTAAATATATAAAATAAATATCAAAAATATAAGTCTTTGTTTTACTATGGTTGCAAATATCAAAAAATTTCTATATATGACACGGCACCAGAGTTAAGTTAGGGTTTTTCAAAATGCTGACACGCCGAGCTCAAAAGGTTCGCCATCACTGACCTACACTCACCCAGACCTGACTCCACCTTCCTGGATGGAGCAGCCTCTGAGCCCAGAACCAACACATCTCAGGGAGAGTTACAGACACTCAGTTCTCAGGGCCTCCAGGGAGATGAGGTCCAGGTGCCTTAGGGTTCTGGGCACAGAACAGGCGCGTCACCATTCTTGGGCTCCCTCTCCCACAGCCCTCAACACACAGGAACTACAGGGGTACCTGAGCACTAGGACCAGCAGGAGCCAAGAGCTGGCGAGTGCCCAGAGAGGGGGGTGGCACGGGCTCTTGAGGTCCACAGCCCTCAGTTTCCGGACGTGGCAGTCTGCACACCTTGCATCTGAGGTGCTAACCAGACAGGGATGAGCTCTAGGTGCCGGGCAGCCACGCATGGACAGGCCCAGATACTCACCTGCCAGGACTCCATTCTCTCTCCTATCTAAACCACCCCCCAAGGTGCCACGGCATCCCCACTGGGTCCAGGGGATGCCCACATGGGACCACCACTCAGCCACTCTTGGGCTCAGCCACCATGGCCACTGGGCTCTAGCTGTCCCACCACAACAGCAGCCAAGTCCACACAGAGGGTCACCCCTCCCTGTTCTTGTGAAAGTGGGGAGAAATCAGGGCATCAGTGACTTCCTGAAGGAACGCTGTCCTTGACCTGGCCCCGCCCCGTCTGCTGCTCAGGAAGCCTCTGCTGGTACAGCCCTTTCTCAACCACCTCCCTGCCCGTGACCGAGGCTGGGAGGGGCAGAAACACATAGCTGAGGTGTACCCAGCACTCCGCCTGGGTCTCCTCTTGAATGGAGAGCCTCAGAAAGGAGGGCAGCCTTGCCACGTAAGAACGATTCAGCAATAAAAACACACACACCACACTCTACGTGGTAGTGGATAAACACAGTCCCATCCCGAACACCTGAAAGTCCATGCACATCAGAACCTAAGCAAGAAACCACCCGCCTCTGAACCTCTCGGGGACAGTAAATTACAGAGCTGGAACCACACTTAGTTTTTGCAGGATAACCTGAACGAGAGTTACTGTGAAATACCGAAGAAGCCTTTCTGCCTCGGGTACACGTCCTCCAGAACGCGGAGGTGAAGTCCATCACCGCTTTAGCGGAACCTCTAATTGAGCAGCAACCGTCTACCTGCTGCTCTGGCGACAGAGGATGCCAAACATTTGCTCACCTGGGTGCTAAGGAAAGGCTATCCTTTAAAAAATATATACCTGAAATAATATTGGTCACCACAGAATTTCTAAAGAGAGGGTGGAATACAGACAAAATCCATCGTGAGAAATATTTCAAGGAAGGTCTGAGAGTGAACACTACACATAGACGTTTGAGCCCTAAGTGCTGACGACAAAGGAGAACACCCAGCCCTCCATGTGTCCACAAAGGGTGAGGGATGCAGTCCAGCAGGGAAGAACCAGTCCTCCTTCATTTCAACGGCAGCAACTACAGGAAGCTTTTCTAACTCAATGAACACAAAAAAGGCAAAAATTCACAAAAAACCAGGAGGAAAAAAAAGGGTAAGTTAAGGCTACAAAGGGCAGCTCGCTTGAGTCGAGATGAGAGAAGGCAACAGCCTGGTGACATGGCAGATGTGACCTGACACCTGCACCTGCTGGTGGGACTGCAAGTCCCAGCAAACTTGGCCAATCACTGACACCATTTATTAAAGGGACGCACGACCTTTCCTGGATATTATCATGACTGGAGGTCACAGGAACACAAGCCGCAGCATAGAGGTCAAATGTAACTCCTTAACTGGTGGGATTTAATAGTGATGATGCTTTTAGTTACAAACAACCAATCATCAAACAAAAGCCCAACCCAGGGCGTCTGTCCACTCACACCTGGGGCCCCTCACCTGGCCTTTAGGAGTGGCTCTATGTCCACTCTGAGTGGCTCAGTCGGGCTCTGAAGTGTCACCATGTCCAGGGGAAGGCCAGAGGGAGGCATCAATGGCCACTCCCAGCATGGACAGCTGCTGGGGGAAGGGGGAGGGGCGCAGAGCTTTCCAGAAGGAGAGGGGACATGATGCCGGGCCACACGTCTACAACAATGCCACACCATTGGCAGCTCTTTAAAACACCAACCTCAGACCCCTCATTTAAATCTCAGACACTGCCCCAAGATTGTTTACACAGTGGGGTGTATGGTCCTCAAACTCAGGATCCTGTCAGCACAGAGGAAATGGAGGGCGCACCTGAGACTCAGAGGGACGGTTCGCTCCGCAAGTGCCCTCCCGCCTAGGGAAGCGCCGGTGCGGGTCCACTTGGGCGTCTCTCCTACATGTCCTGCTCACACCAGCGCCATCTCCAGCCCATCTGGGCTGTGTGGAAGTGGGCAGGCGGCCAGGGAGGCTGTGCTGCTGAGCTGGGGCGGCATAGCCCAGCACAGGCCCCAAGCTGCCCTTTTCCCTCATGGCAACTGTCTGTCCTCTGGAAGGGACAGACCAGGTGGGCCTGAGGCAGTCAGGGTCAGGCCCAGCACCCCCGGCCCATCATCTGCTGGGATATGGCCAACAACGGCCCATGTGTGCTCAGCAAATGAAATGGCTCATGGAGGGCGGCACCGAGCCAGCGTGAGCGAGCCAGTGCACGTCAGCTGACACAAGACAAAAAAGTATGCAGAGAGGTCCGAAGTGGAAGTGGGGGAGGCTTTTGCACACCAGCAGTCAGAGCCCTCAGCAGGCAGCCAAGTCCAACTCAGAACCGGACGCACCCAGCCCACCCAAGGGAAGCCCTGCCAGCAGGTGTGCTCCATAGTGCGGCAGACATACCTGAAGGAGGAGTGTCCCGTGTGGATCTGCAGGGAGCCGGGGGGCCCGGGGCTGGTAGTGCCCTTCCGGATGAGCTTGCCCGTGCTGGCGTCGTAGATCCGGACGTCAGGGCCGGGCTGGGCCTTGGGGTGCACGGGTGTCGGATGGAACAAGGCAGCTGGCAGCGCACCCTGCCTGTCGGGAAAGGCTGCGGGGCTGTCCTCCCTGCGGGTGAGAAAAGGCCATGAGAAGGAGCCAGGCCTCACCGGGGGATGCAAGACGCCCTACACAGGCCCGCAAACTGGTCTCCCTCCATCTGATGCTCAGAGCCTGTGCGGATGAAGACGTGGACACCACTCATCTTAACTTCTAGGGCAGAGCCCTGGGCAGGACATCACACAGCACTGGGCAGAGGTGTGCCCACCATGGACCTCAGTGCAGGCTGCGTTTGTTGTTTCCCTCATGTCCGTCCCAGGATTTTCCCTCTAAATACAACATTCAAACTCTTTAAGAATAGGGAGCATTTTTCAAACCTTTATGGAAAGAAACACAACAAAAACCAGGCTCTCTTACATATTCCTCGCCACGGCTGAGCCTCTCCCAATGACTCTACAGCAGTTGTGTGGCTTATATAACTTCTAGCAGTCGTGAAAGAAACACGCAAACTAGATTCACCACTGACAGCCCTACTGCACAGTCACAGGAAAAAACCTGTACTTCTTCCCTAGGCAGTAATGGGCACCTTTTCCAGATAACCTGTTCGTGATGGAGCCTGGAGGAGCCACAGTGGGGCAGGCAGGGCACAGGTGAGAGGGCTGAGAAGCCACGCACTGAACACTGGGGATGCCGTGTGGGGCTGCGAGCAGCGAGGCTGGCGGCCAGGGGTGGGCTCTCGAGGAGATGGGGCCGAGACTGCTGGCAGCTCACCTCTGCACTTTGCCGTAGTCCTCGCTCAGCGGGAAGAGCTGCTCCTCCACCTTGTCCCACCGCTCTAGGCAGCTCCACAGCCAGTCGGGGTTCACCACGTGCAACTGTCCGCATGCCTGGGCCTGCCGCACCTTCTCTGTGCCTACAAGAGGGGAGCAATGGCCCAGATATTCAGGGACCCAGTACAGAGCCTAAGGCATGCACCCAGGACAAGCCCACATGCATACCTAGGCCCAAGATGGGCAGACAGAACCAGTCCAAATAGAATTTAGCCATTATGTAATTACCAGAAAGATGCTTCTGAAAATTCCACATGAAACAGGAGCCCTGCTAGTTTCAAAAAATGACTGCAGAGGCCAATGTAGATGCATTCTACTCCATGAACTCCCTCGGTTGTCCTTGCCCCAACCCCAGGGCAGGACCCAGGGAGGCCTAGCGGCTGGCTGGCCACTTACCTGCCTTTGCAGCAATCAGGTGGGTGGCCCTGTCAGGGGCGTCAGGGTCTAACACCAGCTGGGTGAGGATCTTGGCTCCGAGGGCCGTGGCATGGTAATGCTCCCGCGTCTTTTCCACCGGGAAGTTGGTGGGGTACAGCCCACTGAAGATTATGGCCACGTCCGCCAGTACTCGGCTCTTGAGCTCAGGGACGATCTTCCGTATGTCGGGTGCCTCCTGGGTCTCCCCGCGCAAGTAGCGGTCATACCTGGCGTAGTAGTCGGAGTGCACGCGGGCGAGGATCTCCTCCAGGTGGACCAGGTGGTCATCGCCATCATCGTCCTCCTCCTCCTCGTTCTCCTCCTCCTCCACGCTCTGGTCCAGGGACTCGCCCACTGTGATGCCTGACTGTTCACTGTTCTGGGACTCCGTCTCGGCCTCCTTCTTGTCAGCAGAGCCACCCGCCAGCCCACAGAAGCCGTCTCGCTCGCCCTCCTCCTGCAGGTCAGATTGGACTCCGGGCACAGGCTCTCCGCAGTGATTCGGCCGTGTGGGCCTCTCCCCGCCCGGGCCAGGGGCCCCGCCCTGCTGCATGGCTCTCCTGGTGTCCTGCGCAGCCTTAGGCTTCTTCTGGCTCTTCTTCTCCCCACTTTCGCCATCAGAGGTGGTGGAGGACTGACCCTCCGACTCACTGCTGCTCTCACTGTCACTGGATAAGTCGAAGTCCAGGTCACTGCCTGCTGTGCCCTGAGTGGGCTGCTTCTCCACTGAGGTCCGACCCTGCTGCTGAACACACACTGGGGGCCCCCTACCGTCCACCAAAGGGGCTCGGGCAGCAGGTGAGGCCCAGTCCCCGTTGAGTTCCCTCATGGGCTTCCCAAGGCCGTTACTCTGCTCAACTGCAGAAACCGGCCTTCCCTCCTCAGGGTCCTTAGTGGACGGAGCTTGATCTGCGATGTCAGCACCTTTGGGAGGATAATTCACTGCAGGTGCACACAAAACGAGAGGTTACCATGATTTCCAAGAAATGGGAAAACGCAGGACGCATCCGCTATACCCTGCTTCAGACAGGCCATCGAGCTGCCCACTGCAGGGACCCTGCTGGGTCCCACTTTCTCCCAGCCCAGACCTCTCAGTCCTATTTTAGTGGCTGCAGCAATAATTGCATACCTCAAAACATTTTATTTAATCCTACTCAACCGGAAAAATGTTCAAATTGTACGATTAAGAAACAGAAACAAAATATCATGCCTTTTAGAATAACATGAACACAACGGCCTCTGTAATACCGAAATACAAACAAGCAGCAACAAAGTGAGGCCTGAATTCAGAGCAGTCACAAGGCAGGTGAGAGGCGGAGGAGACAGTGAAGCAAATGCTAATACTTCTCTGAGGTCTAGAAGGGAGTTGCCCACCTTTCTTTCTCGCCGGAGGCTCCCGGGACCCTGGGGGAGCATTGATGTCCCCTGTGCCCTGGAAGTAGACGTATTTCTTTACGGTGATCAGATTGGGGGCGAACTTCCAGACATCTTCTCGGTCATCAATAATGCAAACCATTGAGTCTCCACAAGGAAAGAGATTTCTGGAAGTAAAAATGTATCAGAACTACTAGCATGATTTACAAAAAGAATCATCAAACAAGAGTGACAACTATCTCACACGGAACCACTAGACAGCAGACTAATGCAAAACAGATGCAAGGTACACGAAGGGCTTTTGTTTAGCTTGTGTTTAAACTGTTTCCAGAGAAGGTAACATTAAAACAGTCCCAGTTCCCTCCACTGTCTCTGCTACTTCTCAAGGCAGGAGTCAGCACTCTCCTTAGAAGACCAGAGAGGAAGGAGAAAGCTCCAGTCCTAACAAAGCCTCAGGAAAAACCTAAGTCAGTGGCCATGTCCCAGTACAACTTCATTTACAAACACAGGTTATCTGCCTATAGGCCAGAGTCTGCTCCCACCTGTTCCCAGGTGAGGGCTTTCAGAGAGAGAGGTAGGAAGGCTCAGCCTTGTTCAAACTCAGCTGTTTGAAAAAGCTGTTCCCTGAAGTTCCCAAAAGGTGACTTGTATTCCCCAAAGCTACTAGTGTGTGTGGGGTGAGCAGAAATATTAACAAGGGTCTAAAGGCCATCCCTGGGTGCAGGCATGCTCTGCTACCTCACGTGGTCTCCTTAAACTTCATTTCTGTCCACACCCCTGAGATTCAGAGAGCTGGCTCATAGCACTCAATACTCAGAATGATGACTGCTTCTTGCCTGTCTTCAAGATCGGGGGATAAACCCAGGAAAGATGCCTACCACTGTTCAGGTTCCTACTGCTAATCCTATCTAATAAAAGAGTAATATGCAAATTGACCATCACTCCAACACACAAGATGGCCGCCCCCATGTGGACACAAGATGGCCGGCAGGGGAGGGCAGTTGGGAGGGATCAGGCCTGAAGGGAGGGCAGTTGGGGGTGATCAAGCCTGCAGGGAAAGGCAGTTAGGGGCAATTGGGCCGGCAGGGGAGCAGCTAGGCATTGATCAGGCTGGCAGGGGAGTGGTTAGGGGCAGTCAGGCTGGCAGTTAGGCAGGCAGGCAGGCAGAAGAGGGGTTGGGAGCCAGCAGTCCTGGATTGTGAGAGGGATGTCTGACTGCCCATTTAGGCCCGATCCCTCTGGGGTCGGACATCCCTCGAGGAGTCCCAGATTGGAGAGGGTGCAGGCTGGGCTGAGGGACACCACCTCCGTGCATGAATTTCATGCACTGGGCCTCTAGTAAATAATAAAGGCTACACTACCCAGGAAAAAATGTTCAAGTGTCCAAAATTAATATTATTTTCTGAGTCCATTTTCCAGAAGAACATAAGGTAGCTAAAATACCTCAGTGGCAGATGCCTTCCAGCACATTTAATTCCAGATGGGGGACTGCAGTGTCCACTGTGGAGCAGGCTCCCTAACAGTCACTGACACGCTCGCTCATTTTCCTTGTCCACATCACCCTGCTCACTCTGACGCTAAGGAGCAAACACACAGGGTCTGTTTCCGAAACAAGTGCTTTCAGACTTTTCCTAGTGCACATTGACTTGAATGGGTCTTAGTTGTGTGGACAACCCAAATCTAAACACGAAATGTTAGCCCTAACCGGTTTGGCTCAGTGGATAGAACATCGGCCTTTGAACTGAAGGGTCCCAGGTTAGATTCCAGTCAAGGGCATGTACCTTGGTTGCGGGCACATCCCCAGTAGTGGATGTGCAGGAGGCAGCTGATCGATGTTTCTCTCTCATCGATGTTTCTAACTCTCTATCCCTCTCCCTTCTTCTCTGTAAAAAATCAATAAAATATATTAAAAAAAAACCTCAAACAAAAAAACCCACGAAATGTTAGATGCAGGTGGCTGACACCAGCCAGGAGGCCACTGAGGCCACAGCTGGTACTGCCTTACTATCCAATCTCGTTAGTTCTACCTGACACTGGGTAGAAAGCGGGACAATGCTCATATAGAGAAGACATTTCTGAGAATATCAAAGAGCCCTGTGATTGGGTGGGATGGCCCAGTCACAGAGGCATAGACAGGACAAGATAGGAAGGGGGGTGGTGACGGGAGGGATGGGAATAGCAGAGGGGCAGATGGAAATGTGACCTAGGCTCTCCTAACACTCCCAGCGTTAACAGCAAGCCAACTCTCGAGGAACGTGAACCTGAGATGCCAACACCAACGTGAAACACCTTCTTTAAACTTGTGACTTGACGGACAGCCCACCTTGTACTTGGGGAAGCTTTGGGTGCTTTCCACTGACACTGTCACCTGAATTTCCTGTGCCCCCCAGCCCTGCTCTCAGCTCCCTCTCTCCACACCCCGATCCTCCCAGGCCCCTGCCACTGCCTGGACATTCAAGGAGAGGCAGGAAGTAGGGGTCTGGTTAGAAGACAGTAGCAGAGACAGTGGCAGAAATTTAAAAATAAACACAATTACTGCTCGATGCTCCCAATGCATCTTCACAATGGGAACCAACAGCAAGCCTTGTGATGAACAGAGCAGGTACGTACCTGAGGTTCCCTGTTTTAGAAAACGGGTCAATACACTCGTCCCTCGATAATATTCGGTGAGAAAAAAGCTTCTTCTCAGGGTCTAAAAAGCCTTTGAAAAGAAAGCAGGATAAAGGTCATGTGTGTCTAAGAAGCACGGACCCTTCACTGTGCATACAGTGAAGATCTCACTGTTTCTTTAGAATCAGAGACACAGAGCATCACAGAGAATTCTATGAAGTAGTTACATTAACCTTCACATGTCCCAATCACATATCCCAATAGCCACAGCAGCCACATGCTAAAGGCAAATATGTTGAATTTTAGTTACAAGATGAATTACTTTAATACGTTGCCTACATGTCCATAATTAAAATTTCCTACAAGGGCATTAAATGTAAACAGGGGATGAGAAATTCATTTCTCCAGCAACAATAAAAGACCAAGACCAACCAGTAAAGAGAATTTCAAGGTGCTGAATCTAACCATTGCACATCTAATACCAAACTGTGACCATGTCATACTGCAGGTACTAGGTCTACCCGCAGTCAGTGGGGCCGGATCGCAGCCATCCCCAGGGAGGTAAAGCCCACGCCCTACACTGCCCCCAGCTGTGGCCACCGTGGGCAATGCTGCATGACCCAAGGGCTTCTGCCTCCATGCACTGAGCTCAGCCAGCACAGCCCGACGTCTGCGTTCTCCTAGTAAGATCGCCTGTCTGCACCTTAAGTGTTAAGTGCAGACAGACATAAGCAATGTGGGCCCACAAGTGTTTCCAAACCAATCAGTAAAACATTTTAAGTTCACTTATATATAAGACTAGAGGCCCGATGCACGAAATTCATGCAAGAGCAGGCTTTTTTTCCCCTGGCTGCCAGCACCGGCTTGCCTCTGGCACCCGGGACCTGGGCTTCCCTCACAGCCCCGGCTTTGTCCGGAAGGACGTCGGGTCTAATTAGCATATTAAGCTTTTATTATAATAGATGTTTCTTTTTCCAGGTACCTGTGGTCCTGACCAACTTCTAAACTGGCCCGTGACAGCAGCCAGTCCATCTAGACTGGCTCTGGGGTCGCAGGCAGGTGGGGAGGGGCCGTCCAAGAGAGCAGTGGCTGAATTTTAGAGACTTAACGCTGCCTGGCCACCCCAACTGACAGCTCCTAAGGAGGCTGACAGGGAGCTTCCTTCACCTTCAAGAAAGCATGGCGGGCCTGGCCGCGGTGGCTCGTGGTTGAGTGTCAACCTGTGAGCCAGGAAGTCACAGTTTGGTTCTTGGTTGGGGCACATGCCCAGGTTGTAGGCTCAATCCCCAGTGTGGGGCATGTAGGAGGCAGCCAATTAATGATTCTCTCTCATCATTGATGTTTTTATCTCTCCTTCTCCCTTTCCCTCTCTGAAATTAATAAAAAAAAAAATATATCTACACTAATAAAAGAGAAACATGGTAATTAGCGTACGACCGCTACCCTTCCCATTGGCTAATCATATCCTTATGATGCAAATTAACTGTCAGCCAAGATGGCGGCCGGCAACCATGCACTGAAGAAAACAGGGAGGCTTGCTTGCTCCAGTGACTGGCGGACTCCAACGTTCCCCGCCTCACTTGCCGGCCTCCCAGCTGCAACTCTAAGCAACTATGTTGCAAATATAGAAGCTAAACAAAACACCAGAAACCTGCGTTAGTCAGCCGGGCTTCAGCCAGCCTGACCGCAACATTGTATCAAATACAGAAGGTAAAGGCCAGAAACCTGCTTTCAGCAGCGAGGCCTCAGAGCTAAAGCTGGCCCAGAA